GGTTGACACAGTGGGGAGTGTAAACAGTCTGAGAGGGAGAAGGGGGGGGAGGGGGGACAAGGCTGATGAGTGTGTGTGTAATTTGTGCTATTCCTGATGTGGTCACTAGAGGGCGATGTGCTCCCTCTGCAATAGCACCAGACCCTTTGCACATAGCGTTCTCACAAACCAAATCCCTCCTCCTCCATAAACTCAAATCACTGCCCTGCACAGCCCCAGCCCTGCCCTGTGTACACAAAATCCCTATTACTCATACTCTCATTCCTCCTGCCCATTGGCTCCTCTCAAGTCTGCAGCCCCAGCCTCACCCAAGCATTAGTCAGCACCTCTCGTTTCCTGGAGCCTTTTCTGCAGACGGGGCCTCTGGCAGGATCCTGGGGCTGCACTGGGAGCAGGACCTCAGCGCCCAGGGCTCAGAGCCCCGGAGGACCAAAACACACCCATCTCCCACACACGCGCGCCTGGACGCGGTTCCTGGCACTGAGGGGTGACTTGAAATTTAGGAGATACCAACATCCGAGCCAGGCTGGAAGGGAGAGCGAAGGGGCTACCTACACTAACCAGAGGCGCAGTTTGTGGTCGTCAAGGCCAGTAGCCAAGAATCCTGGAGGCAGCCAGCCAAGAGCCGATGCAGGCAGGGAGGGCCCGGCCACCCTGCAGACGGAACAGGCCATGGGTCACCTTTACTTTCACGTGTGCCCCTCAGTGGAGTGGATGCGCCAGTCAGATTGAAAAGGCCCAGGCCTGGGTCAACACACTACCCCAGAGAGGAACGGTTTAACCACGGCCTGCCCGCAGCTCCACCACACAGCACTGTGGTCAAGCTTGCAGAAACTGGGTCTTTCATCAACACAAGAACTGTTTCAAAAAGGCTTCCGGCAGGAAACAGGTGGCACTCTCTCTCTGAGCTAACCTCAGAGGTCCCCACAGGGCAATCGACCTGGTCACGGAAACCCACAAAGGAAACACAGCACCCTGGGGCTGGGCTCGGGTGGCCACAGATGGGATGGGCACACAGGAACTCCAAGCCGCAGCCGCCACATGAACACCCCGAGCCTACTCTGTCCTCTTCTGCTTGTCAGTTTCTCCCACTGGCCTGCCCCAACCTGAAGCCAGAGAGCAAGGGAGTCCACGGGGGTCAGCTCAGGTCAGCCCCACGCCCTGCTCAGAGCAGAGGAGACTGGGCCCGAAGGGCAAAGAGAACCCTTGGACCTGTTAGAGAGAAACTCGAGGAACACAAAGCCAGCCCCATCCCACCCAGGAACCTTCCACCCACTACCCAGGCCACACAGCATGCCTGCTTCCGGCACTGGCTCAGATTACGTCAGTATTTCCCAAAGTGGATGGTACCACCCTGAGCCCCAGTGGTCCAAGCAGGCAATTGTTGGTGACACTTTCTCTTTGCTTAAAGAAGGTCTTTTCCCAGGGGCCATAGGATCATTTTTCGGGGGGTGGGGTGGGGGAAGGCAGTAAGCCAAATAAGTGGTAGTGGGGGTGGGGGGCCAGAGGGCTGCCAGGTAGAGGTGATGGCTTACCTGCTGCCACGCCTTCCAGATGAGTCCAGGTGAGACCAGACCCATCCAAAAGTTGCTCGGAGGCCGGAGCAATGAGAGAACCACGCCTGCTCCCTGGGCACTGCTGGAGACGCTCACGGGGCTGAGAGCCCATCCGAGGGGGCAGCTCCTTCACACACTAGTTGTCCATCTCTGGTCTGCAGAGCACATTGCTGCCCCCAGATGGTGGTCTCCTGGCCCTGCAGCCTCCCCTTATCAATTCTACCTCCAGGGCCTCCTTCCCCATCACGAGGATGCGCGGCATCTGCGCCTGAACAACTGGGCATCGGCCGCCTCATCCTGGGAATTTCTCTCCTCTTCAGTACTGACACCTGCATCCCTCCACTCCCCGCCCTCCACACCCCCACACCTCCTCACTCTCCTCTGCATTCATCACCACAGGAGGTTCTATTGTGACTTTACTGAATTCAGTAATGTGTAAATAGCACCAGACCCTTTGCACATAGCGTCCCCCCCCTCCCCAAAAGCCCCTGCTAGAATGGCCAACCCATGAGGGCTGAGTTCTTGTTGCTCTTCCCCAGCTCTGTGGTGTGGTGAAAAGGGACATGGAGCTGGGAGAGCTCTGGGAAATGTGTTGGATTCAATGATCCATACTTGAGCCGGCTGCCCTGCTGGGCTCCGGGCATGAGAACAAGGTTCCTAGTATATTGGGGTGAAAGACAGGTGAGCGCTTGTGCCAAGCCTTTGGGAAGGGCAGGTAAGGAGTTTTCAGCACATCCTAGTAGCTATGTGGGGAGATGGAGATGTCCGAGAGCTCTGTGGTCTGGCCACGTGCATGAACTTAACACGAAAATGTGCACTCACACACGTTTCTTAAACCTTCTAAAGGTGATTTTATATCCTGTGTTTTCTGCCACAGGTAAAAATTGTTTTTTTTGTTTTTGTTTTTGCTTTTGCTTTTTTACTGACAGTGCTTGGGGACTGCTCTTGGCGGTGCTCAGGGGCATTGCTGAGCTCTCTTTCTGGCAACAAAAATAAATGTTTTTGGGCCAGAGCAGTAGCACAGCAGATGAGGCGCTTGACTTGCACGTGGCTGACCCAGGTTTGATCCCCAGCATCCCATATGGTCCCCTGAGTGCCACCAGGAGCGATTCCTGAGCGCAGAGCCAGGAGTAACCCCTGAGTATCTCCAGGTATGACTCCAAATGCCCTCCCGTTGATCGTCGATTTGCTCGAGCGGGCCCAGTAACGTCTCCATTGGAGACTTTGTTGTTACTGTGTCTGGCATATCGAATACTCTCGGTAGCTTGCCGGGCTCTCCGAGAGGGGCGGAGGAATCGAACTCGGGTCGGCCATGTTGGCCGCTTGTAAGGCGAACGCCCTACCCGCTGTGCTATTGCTCCAGATAAACTCCAAATAAACACATAAATAAGTAAACATTTTAAACACATAAATAAGTAAACATTTTAAACAAATAAAACCCCCAGCAGAGTGTAGGACTACCAGAAGGTCCTTGACCTAGCGCCAAGCTGCAATTTGCAGGGGTCACCGGCAAGGGATCCCTGGGCGGTGGGAAGGGTAGAGGGCTATGGGGGTGCAGTCTGCCCCTCCCCAAGGACGGGACAGGGGTGCTCAGGGGGAGATAGGGAAGTTTCTGGGAAAGGGTGGAGGCTGGAGGCCAGGAGACCCATTGGGAGGTGGCTGCAATAGAAGAGGCCTGAATGGGGTCAGGACGGTGGGGAGGGGCGGGCAGGGAGACGCGCCCCAAATGGTATGGCCAGGATGGAAATTATTGGGTATTGGGCAAGGGGGGGTCATTCTGTTCCTCTTTCCTGTGGGGAAGGGACAAGACCATTCAAACCCTGCCCTGCCCTTCCTAGCCCCCAGGAAGAGTCAGAGTTGGGTGAAGACAGCCTTCTGGTCTGCACCCTGCCTCCCGCCTTCCAGGACATGGAATGAGAAAGGCTTTAGGAGAGGCTGGTCCGGCCCCCGGTGAGGAATTCTGGGAGCCGAGGCTGCAGTGGGGCGTGCTGAGAACGCGCCTCCAGGGACCTCTGTTCTCATGCCCTTCGGGGTCAGGACTAAAGTGGGTGCAGTTGTCAGCTCTGGAAGCTCTGGAAGTCCAGGAGGCTCTGAGCAGGCCGGCCCTGAGGGACAGGCCTGGATGGGAAGGCAGAGCCGCCTGAGGCCTGGGGGCTGAGCCGAGCCCCCCACATACAGGCTCCCCCAGTGTGGGCCACACTGCCCTGAAGCCCTCCTGCTCTGAAGGAAGGCTGGGCCCTTGGGGAGCCCAAGAATCCTCTGGTGGACAAGCATGGACCTTCCTGCCACCAGTGCCAGGCCACGACCCTCACCTGCCCTAGTCCCTTTCCTGAGCTTCTACCCCAGCAGCCCTTCCTGGACCACAGACCCTTCTGTCACCGTGTCTCCAGCACTTCTCACTTGGATGCTCCCTGTGCATCCCTGGGACCCCTGAGTACCTCCTGCTGCATCCTGCACAGCCGGTCCCTGTTCTGAGGCCTTAGCAGCAGAAACTCACCCCACCTGTGGGAGTTAGCTTAGGTGTCTCAGCTCAGCGTTGAGGCCTCCTCTCCTCCCCGGCAGCACTACAGCAGGGGCAGCTAGCCAGGGTCCTGGGCCCAAGGCATTTGCTCCTCTTGGTGCCTTGAATGTTCATGCCTGCCACCTGCCTACTGGCGTCTCCTCCAGGAAACAGGCAGAGCCAAGCCCCGGGCCTCACCCCCTTGCCTCTTGAACATTCCACAGCCATGCTGCTGGTGCCCAAGGAGCTGTTTCTTCAGTCCCTGCCTCTTGAGCCCAGCCACCTCAGAGCCAAGACCACCCCTGGTGGTTTTAGGGGAATCCCTAACCCTCTCCCATGCAGAGCTGAACCTCCTTATGGGCAGGGGGTGCCCAATTTAACAACAGGGGGCTCCAGCTGCTCCCTTCAAACCTTTAGACCCCAGGCTTAGGGGCATGAGAAGGGTGTCCAAGTTGAAGGTGGCCGGGGTCCCTGATTGTGGAGAACACCAGCGCCCCCCAGCTCCCGCTCCTCGTCCCCCAGACTGGCACTCCTCTCTTCAGGTCTAATGTGCCTGGTACCCGGGGTGCACACCCTTAGAGGGCCTGTTCCTGCCAGGCCGAGAACCCGCCAGGGTCTAGGCACCCCCACCGCGTCCCAGCCCCTCACAGCCGGCCGCGCAGGCGGGCTGCAGCCCTGCCCAGCCGCGATCTCGGGCGCGCTCCCCCTGCGGGGAGAGTTGCGGGGGGACCCTGCGGCACCCCCGAGGCGCCCAGGATAGCCCGGGCGGGGAGGAAGGGGGCCGGGGCGCCCCCACCCCACCCCACCCCACCCGCTCCCCCGCCAGCCCGCGGCGCCTCCCAGTCCCCGCCCCCGGCCCGAGCGCCCGGTCCGCCGCTTCCTGCCCCCACCCGCCGCCCCGCGCTATTTAAGGCGCCCCCGCCGGCCGGCGCCGTCCAGCGGGGCTCGCAGGCCATCGCGCGTCCCACGCCACCTGGGCTGGCCGGCAGGCAGGCGGTGAGTTGAGCTGGGCTGGGCTGGGCAGCGGGAGTGGGAGGGGGACCACCTGTCAGCGACATAGTGGGCAGGGGACGCCGCGTGCCACCTGCCAGGGTCTGGTGGAAAGGGCCCAGCCCCCCCCCGCCCCCCGCCCCCCGCAGCCTGCCTCCCCTCCTTTGACTTCTTCTACCGGTGGGGAGGTGGGTCCCGAGTGTTGTTCTGGGGGAGACATCCAGGCACCGTGAGAGAGCATCCAGCATCGTGAGACCATCCCCCATCCAAGCTCCCGGCTCAGAGGAGGGGCCGACTAGAACCCAGGTCAGGGCAGGAGCCTGGCTAAGAGCCTTTTCCCCCTTCCCACACTGAGCCTTCCTTCCCTCCAGGCCCCCCTCATATGTCCCCCACCCAGCTTCTCTCCAGACCCTGCACCCCCCACCCAGTTCCTCTTCAGACCCTGTGCCCCCCACCCAGCTCCTCTCCGGACCCTGCGCCCCCCCACCCAGCTCCTCTTCAGACCCTGTGCCCCCCACCCAGCTCCTCTCCGGACCCTGCGCCCCCCCACCCAGCTCCTCTCCGGACCCTGCGCCCCCCCACCCAGCTTCTCTTCAGACCCTGTGCCCCCCACCAGGCTCCTCTCCAGAGGCTAGAGGCAGCCACAGCTGCGGGTGCTCAGAGGGGCGGGTTAACCCTCCACGCGGGAGGTGCTGACAGGTGGAGCCAGTGCAGGTGCGACCTTTCCACCACAGCCCCCACCTACCCTCCAGCACAAGCTCAAGGTTAGCTGAGAAGCCAGTGGGGAGAGGGGTGATATGGCAGGAAGCAGGGACACCCCCCACCCTCCCAAGTGTATGTACACACAGTCAGAAACAAGCATTTGGGGCAAAGCGAGAGGGATTCATTCCCACTGTGTTCTGTGAGAAGGTGCTGGAATTGTTTGTGGGCTCAGGCCCTCGTCCTGACCACACCTCCTACAGCTGTGATCTTCCTGGGACTCCAGCTGGGAACCCTTGGACATGGTCAGGGAGTCAAGCATCACAGCGGGGGCCTGGTTGCACCCCTGTAGAGTTCAGCAGCCCCATGCAGAGATCGACATATTATTTCCCCACCACTCTGCTGGGTGTGACGTCCTGGCCAGTCCCTACCCCCATCTTGATCCTCAGTTTCCCTATCAGGAAGATGGGCAGGGGGAACTCTCTGCAAGTGTGTTGCTGGGGTGAGCTGAAGTCACCAGATGACCGTGTCTCTGTCTGTCTCTCTGTCTGCAGTCGGAGGCCCGGGAGCCATGGGCGACTGGGGCTTCCTGGAGAAGCTGCTGGACCAGGTCCAGGAGCACTCGACTGTGGTGGGCAAGATCTGGCTGACGGTGCTCTTCGTCTTCCGCATCCTCATCCTGGGCCTGGCCGGCGAGTCGGTGTGGGGTGACGAACAGTCCGACTTCGAGTGTAACACGGCCCAGCCGGGCTGCACCAACGTCTGCTATGACCAGGCCTTCCCCATCTCCCACATCCGCTACTGGGTGCTGCAGTTCCTCTTCGTCAGCACCCCCACCCTGGTCTACCTGGGCCACGTCATCTACCTGTCCCGGCGCGAGGAGCGGCTGCGGCAGAAGGAGGGGGAGCTGCGGGCGCTGCCCGCCAAGGACCCCCAGGTGGAGCGGGCGCTGGCGGCCATCGAGCGGCAGATGGCCAAGATCTCCGTGGCCGAGGATGGCCGGCTGCGGATCCGCGGCGCGCTGATGGGCACCTACGTGGCCAGCGTGCTCTGCAAAAGCTTGCTCGAGGCAGGCTTCCTGTACGGCCAGTGGCGCCTCTACGGCTGGAACATGGAGCCCGTGTTTGTGTGCCAGCGCGCGCCCTGCCCCTACCTCGTGGACTGCTTCGTGTCGCGCCCCACGGAGAAGACCATCTTCATCATCTTCATGCTGGTGGTCGGACTCATCTCCCTGGTGCTCAACCTCCTGGAGCTGGTGTACCTGACGGGCCGCTGCCTGAGCCGGGGGGTGAGGGTCCGGCAGGGCAGGGAGGGCCCCCCAGCCCCGGCCCCGGGCTCAGAGCCTTACGCTGACCAGGTTTTCTTCTACCTCCCCATGGGCGAGGGGCCCTCGTCTCCCCCGTGCCCCACCTATAACGGGCTCTCCTCCGCCGAGCAGAACTGGGCCAACCTGACCACGGAGGAGCGGCTCACTGCTTCCCAGCCACCCCTCTTCCCGGACCCGGCGTCCCAGGATGGCAGGAAATCCCCTAGTCGCCCCAGCAGCTCTGCTTCTAAGAAGCAATATGTGTAGGGACCCTGGGGCTCATGTCACCCCAACAGAGAGGTCCCGGGATGTCTGGCAGCCTGGGGCGCCCTTCCTTGATGACACAGCCAGATGACTGGGGATGGGGGAGCGGGGAGAGGTGCTTGCTGGCCAGACACTCCTCATGACCTGATGGCAGGTTGTCCTGGAACATCTGGGGTCTTCCTGGTGGCCTAGGGTCACTGGTTTCCCTGCAGGTACAGGCAGAGTAGTTCTGGGGATCTGGGCAAAGGTGTTAGAGGTCTGCTGGCCTTTCTCACCTGTTCCTCAAAGCCCAGAGCCGATCCACCCCATCCCTGGAAGAGTCCCTTGGCCAGGACTGTCTGTGCTCTGACTAACCTGTCCTCAGAGAAAAAGGCTGGTAGAGGCTGCTGGGTCAGCCTTGCTCACACATGCAGCCTGGACTGGATCCCCCCACACCCTCACCCGGGGCACCTCCCTCCCTCCCCTCCCGCTGAAATAAACAGGCCTTGATCACAAGCCGGGTGTCTGTTTTTGTGGTGTGCCGCCAGGCAGAGTGGGGAGGAGTCTCCGGCTCTGCCCAGCTGTGAGGAGTCTCTGACCCTACCCAGTCTAGTCTCCTCGAGCCATTCTGCCTCTCACGGTGCCCTGCATCCTAACCCCCGCCACCCCACCGCCTTTGCAAATGTCCTGAGTGCGACCCTCTTCCCACCCCCACTTCTGTGGCATGGCCTGCGACATGCCACAGGCCACATCAGCAGCTGACCCCAGAGTCCCCGAGTCCTGCACACTCCAGCACCTGCATCCACTTCACCCGGATCTGGGGTATTGGGTGGGGAGAAAGTGTGTCCTTCCCCACCTTTGCCCTGTCTGCTCTGTCCCCCAGAGGGGTGACTAGAATGCCTTTGTGAGGTTGCCATCCCTCCCCGATGACAGTCAGGTGATAGCAGCACACAGTGGAGGGGACATTTGGGGTGAGTAGAGGAAGTAAATGTTGCCTCTGAGCGCCAAGGCCTACGGGGAGAACCACGAAGTTGAGTGGAAGCTCAACGGGAGCCTCGGCAGACATGGGTACCCAGGGAAACGGCAGAGCACTGGGGGCGAGGGGTGACTTAGGGTTCGAGGTACATTCTAGGCAGTGGGAGGTTTGGGTGAGATGAGCCCCCCGCTAGCAGGGCCTCATGTCTCTGTGCAGGCAGCACTGGGTGAGCTGGCGCTAACTTCCTACCCGGGCAGGCCTGGGGCTGCCGTCAGGGGACCAGCTCCAGCTCCCCAGCCCGTTGTTTCTCCGATAGTCACAACGCCTTTGCGGCAGGTTGGAAACAGCGCCCCTCTCCTAGTCGGGTGGGTCTCCTCACAGCCAGCCTTGAACTAACTTCCCTCACTTTTGCCCATCTGCCTGGGCGCTCCGTCTGATGAGTCTCAGGCTCTCCTCTGCAGTCCCCTCAGTGTTCTCCTGAGCCTTCTTCCAGGTCCTCAGACCCACCTGGCATGTTCCATCCTCTCCTCTGCCAGCCTGCAACACTCCTTCCCCCCACACTGTCCAGCCCTGCAAACTTCTCAGCACGCCTGCATCCCAGGAAAGACAGAAAGGTGAGAGCTGTTTAACTCCGGGGCTCACGTTTAACTGCTGCCTCTAACCTGCAGTGAGCCATCAGGTCTCTGTCAATCATCTCACTTCTCTGCTCAGTTTTCTCATCTATAAAAGAACACTGCCTGCCTCACCCGTGGCAAGAAATACAATAAGAAAACACATGTGAGTGTGCCTGACTCAGGGAAGTCACGTAATAAAATTTCTCTCATCCTCTGCAGCAAAACTTCCTTCAGGAAGCCCTCCTGCATTTCTGCTGCTAATCTCTCTCTCTCTCTCTCTCTCTCTCTCTCTCTCTCTCTCTCTCTCTCTCTCTCTCTCTCTCTCGATCTGGGCCACTGCTTAGGAGTTTATTATAAGATAGTATAAGATACCCCAGCAAGTCTGTAAGACTCCCCAAGGAAACTCTTACATTCCCATAGGTCTCATTCACTTGTCCATTCCATGAGAGATTGAACTGCACCAGGAAGGAAGTTGGCTACTCCCAGCTCACTCTAGGATGCAGAGGGTCTCTTGCAAATGATTCGCCCTCTCCAGAGTAAGAGGCCAATGGTGCCGGAGAGGTCAGTGTCTTAGATTTCCCTGGCCTGAGGCCCCAAGAGCCCATGTTTGTGGTCAGTATTTCCTGGCCCCCACCTCCCAGCCTGGAAAGGCAGAAACAGGTTTATTTGAGAACTTGGAGGAGGAGGGTAACTCCCTCTCTAAGTTGCTTGCTCTGAACTTGTGAGGGCTGTGACCAGAGCCTTAGCTCGTTGGGAAGAGTAGGGTTAGGTTCTAACCTAGGACCCCACAAACTCAGCACCATGGTAATCTAAATTAATAACAGATCACAGAAAGAGCCCTAGTCTGCAGTGAGGTGACCTGACATCTTCTGCCACACTCATTTGACTGTGACCCCTTCTGCTTAGTGAACCTCACTTTCCCCACTGTGAAAGGAAAGGAGTGGAGGTGAAGCCGGTGGGTGGTAATTAGATCTGAGGAGCGCTGTGGGGAGAACCTTGACCCCTACGCTGGGTCCTAGCTCATGAGTGATGGCTGGTCACAAATCAGATTGGGTCCTGTGACTTGAATTCATGTTGATCTGCTGAGGAGCAAAGAAATGGGTGGATCACGTGGGGTGCACTGGGAAGTCCACGCACTCCAAGGTCATCTTATCTGTGACGTGGGGGAGCATGTGAACATCACAGGCTGTGCAGGATAGAAAGTGTGGGCCGCATGAAGGCAAATCCCTTCCCACCCAGCATGCGGCCTCACTGGCCCCAGGGGCTGGCTGCAGGGGTGACCTCCAGGGCTTTTGTTTCCCTTTCCCACAAACTCCAAAAGGACTGAAAACGGCTCCTGGGACCTTCTTCCTCACCTCCAGCTACTCCCACCCCTGTTTTTGACCCAGAGGGTTGCTTGAGGTTCCAGTGTCTGTCCTTCCCCATCATGCCTTGCCCCCGCATATGGCAAAGTGCCATGTGGGTCGGTCCTGAGCCCACTCTGGGCTTGTTCCTCCATCTAACTGGACTCCAAAATGTTCTGACCAGCCTTTGGTTTATTGTTTTTTTGCTTGTTTTGGTGGTTGGTTGGTTTTTGAGAGACCACACCCCCACAATGCTCAGGGTTTCTTCCTAGCTCTGTGCAGAGGGGTCACTCCTGGCAGGGCTTCAGGGACTATATGTGATGGCAGGGGTGGAGCCTGGGTGAGCCACGTGCAAGGCAAGCACCTAACCACTGTGCTAGCTCTCTGGCCCCAACCTGCAGTTCATCTTCTTTCCTCTTAGTAAGTGCCATTCTCCCTTGGGCCCTATTAGAAATTGCACTGTGGTGTAGCTCTACTCAGAACCACTTTCCAAATGCTGTTTCCTTAAAGGAAAGACATTCCAAGTTAGTAGGTCAAAGCATAAATACTTAAATTAAAAATTTAGGGGCTTTTTTGGGTTGTGAAAGCTGTTCGTTGTGGCTGGTGAAGCGCAGAAATGCCTGAGCAAGTTACAAGATCCTCCTGCACAGACTGTCTCGGAGGGTCAGAGAGAGTGTGGGGGAGCTACAGCAGCAGGCCGCGAGCCCAAGGCTGTGGCTCCAGCCTCTGATCTGAGCCAGAGGTACCCACACCAGCACTCTGAAAAATGTGAAGAGGGAAGGAAGCTTGCTCTCTACAGAGAATAGAGCACGAGGGAGACTCCATGCAGAGTTAGAATGGGAACACCATAAAGAACGGAAAGGTTGGGGCTGGGGCAATAGTACATGTAACTGACCAGGGCTCAATTACATTGAGCCCTGGCATCCCATATGGTGCCCCAAGCCCCGCCAGGAGTGGTCCCTGAGTGCAGAATCAGGTCCCTGCGCTTCAGCAGGTGTGACTACCCAAACCCAACCAAAAAAAGAGGAAACAGAGAGAAATGAAGTGGATTTTTTTTTTTTTTGCTTTTTGGGTCACACCCGGCAATGCACAGGGGTTACTCCTGGCTCTGCGCTCAGGAATTACCCCTGGTGGTGCTCAGGGGACCATATGGGATGCTGGGAATCAAACCCAGGTGGGCTGCGTGCAAGGCAAACGCCCTACCCCCTGTGCTATTGCTCCAGCCCCTGAAGTGGATTTTTACGTACTGCAGGGCCAGATCCTCAAACATCACTCTCCCAAAAGCTCCCAAGATGCCAATCGTAGAGCAAGAGAGGTAAAGAGAGGATCTGACTCCACTCTAGGAAGCACCAGAAAGACTCTTTTAGGTGCTGGCTGCACATCAATCAACACCCAAAAGAGGAGTGACCCAGGTCAATGAGGAGGAAGAGCATGTGGGCAGAGGGAAGAGCATCCTCTGAGGCTTGAGGAAGGGAGAGACTCTACATACTCACTGCTCAAGATTGTTTTTGAGGAGCCAGAGTGATAGTAAACTGGATAAGGTGCTTGCCTTGCACGTAGCTGACCAGGATTCAATCTGTGGCACCACAATTCCTGGCTCAGGCGTGACCCTGAGAACAGAGCCAGGAGTAAGCCCTGGGCACAGCTAGGTGTGGCCCCCAAACAAAAAACAAATGACAATGACAGCAACAAAAAGAACAGCAAGATTTTTTTTCCAGATAAAAAACATTAAAAATCTTCAATAGTATTATATGAAAGTGCTCATTCTGAGGTACCCACACCAGCATTCTGAAAAATGTGTGATTCCAAATGGCAGGCTGGGGGTCGGGGTTAGAAGAGGGAACCTGAGAGCACTGGTCGAGGAAAATTGACACCAGTGGTGGGATTGGTACTAGAATATTGTATATTTAAAACCAACCATGAATAATTTTGTAAAACACAGTGTTTTCATGAAATATTTTTAAAATTTTTTATTAAAAATAATTTTATAAAATTTGTAATTTCTTGGGGCTGGAGCGATAGCACAGCAGTAGGGCGTTTGCCTTTCACGCAGCCAACATGGCTGACCCGAGTTCGATTCCTCCGCCCCTCTCGGAGAGCCCGGCAAGCTACCGAGAGTATCTCGCCCGCACGGCAGAGCCTGGCAAGCCCCCCGTGACGTATTCGATATGCCAGACACAGTAACAACAAGTCTCATGTTGGAGACGTTACTGGACCCGCTCGAGCAAATCGATGAACAATGGGAGGACTTATTATTATTATTTATTATTGTAATTCCTTGGGCTCCCTGTGGAAGATAGCTCAGTGGGTAGGGGTGTGTGCCTGACAGACACAAGGACCTAAGTTTGATTCCAGTACCACCCTGGGGGCGCCCAGCCCTGCTGGCCTGAGCAGCTTCGAATTCCTGGGCCAGAGCACTAAACCCAGCGGCTGATTATGGCCAGGAGTAGCCTCAGGTTCTCTGAGCACTGCTGGGGAGCCCATATTGTTTTCATTCCTTTATTAATCATGCAGCAGTTAATATATATATATAATATTTCCTTTCA